TATTATTATAGTAGGTATAGGTAGCTCTAGTATGGTTCATACGTAACAAAAATCAGTACCTAAAGTACGCGCAAGGTACTGAAGACAAGAGAATTTTCCAGCATTTTTTATGCAGATAAAAGTTTTCCAACGAGTTCATAAAGTTGCATGGTGTCGCCATCTAACGCAAAGTGATTGAAACTTCTTCAGTTTCATTGGTTGTGGCACTGGCATGACTAAGCACGTAGCTTGTTCCAGTGAAGCGAGCCAGATGGCGCTGACACAAGTGTTTCTTAACGAGTTCACTAGATGGCGCTCGTGTCGGGTTGATTTTAATTTTACCAACGCACGAAAGAGTTGGACTACGAAATTAATAACAAAAAAATAATGCTATTATGTCTGGTTTTGTAAGATATTTACCTGGCTAAGACATTGGAGCCAAGTTGCCGCTTCCCTGAGCTGAAACAAAGAGAAACAAAATAAGTAATGAAATAGGGAATATGAAATATTGCGACATTAATTTCCTTGGAAAATAGAAAATAATGACAAAGAAGACCTTTCTATTAAGTGCTAATTGTTTGCCAGTGAAATAGAAATAAATAAGCAGATAAGACGGGAAACGAGCCCTAGACATTTGCACTAAGAATCCTACCCTAAAAATGAACCACAGAAAAACACACAGTGATAGACCCATAAAAACACCACACTTAATGGTCCACTACACAATTCTACTAACAAATTTAGAGGTTAATTCGATTTCTCACGCCCAAGCTAAACTGTAACCTAACCTGAGAGGCTCAGCCATAAGAATAAATATGGCTCAGCCTTGAGTAACTTGAATGATATGACTCACGCCTCTATCATGGCCGTCACTCGACATCGAATTAACGGTTTTTATAGCCGAGGAAGTCGCGTAACAAATACATCAGACTTTGTAACATGTTGCTTGTCAGTCTGGCAATACTAGGGCAGTAGGCCTAGCAAAAGTAGGCCCTACGTGACTTACTGATTGTATTTAGAATGATTATTCGTTAAAATCACAAGAGTTGCAATACAGTGAAACTTTTCTTTACATTTGTTGGCCTCTCTATGTTGCTACTGTGCTGGGCAAATTTCTAAAATAGAGCAAATATAACTATTTTAGAAATTTATGTTATCCACACAATTTATGACGTAGAATCTGTTCAAATACAGTGATGGTACTTACATTATGCTGCTAAATATATAACTTTATTTATATCAGTAGCGCTAATGCACTATTTAAGACAAAACGTGAATTTGAGTGTCTATCACACACGCATTTACTACAATATTTAACAAGTGTAAAAAGCATACTACATTGAAGATACAATGTGTGGCCTACTGCGCTAACGTCAGTCAAATAACTCTACTGAAGTAATTATTGTAATTAACTCAATTACCCACTTTGGCGAGTATCACACCTAGCGTCCGTTACTGCGCATTTTTAACGCTTGGGTCTGTCAGATGCAAGGAAATTTCGAATTCTCCATATTCAAAACTGACGTTGACGCAGGAGCAGCGCAAAAACTAGCGTTGTTATCTGTCTTTGTTACACTTACTATGGCAGATGCAATATTAGAGGAAAAGGATATAATCAATTGGCCATACAAGTTTAGGCCCCTCACAAATGCCTCGTAAATCAAAATGTATGGTCACGAAACTTGCAGTACATATTCCTTGTACTACCTAGATTATGCTGGTATAACTACTTTTAAATTATGCAACGGAAAACTGATAAAATGAGGTGTAGGCAGAGCGGCAATGGCCTTGTAAATATCAATGGTTGCTACATTTCATACAACATAAAAATGTCTTTTAATTTAGAATTTGGGATTCCCGTTTCGTATAAAGATGATATTTGCAAGATTGTAATTAAAAAATCAATCATAATTTTTAGTTTTAGTAAGAATTCCATACAATACAGTTTTCGGAATTCGGCAAATCCGGGGTGGGCCCAAAATTGATTATGTCATTTACTAGTAACCGATAGCGTAGTCTCAGAAACGGCTGGTGATAAGCAACAGTTTTCCCCAAGGAACATAGGTCGAAATATGACCAACATATAAAACCAAGATAAATTTCGGTAAAGTAGTCATTTTGGTAAAGTGGTCATTTTGGTAAAGTAGACTTTTCGTGCCTAAAGGAAAAAAACATTGACCTTTGAGCAGCAGATTTGAATAACTGTGGGAGGCCAATCTTTTTTACATATTTTGACCTATGTCCCTTGGGGAAAGGTGTTCCTTATCACCAGCAGGTTCTGAGTTCTCACTATTGGTCACTAGTAAAATTTGACTTATGCTACATATCGCTTTTGCACAAACGGAAGTTAGATGTGTGACACGCCTATGGCCGGTGAATTCAAGTTATTCGGTGCTCTAGGAGAAAGAAGGAAATATTTCCACCAGTACGTAAAGCAATTAGTACATTTTATTGTACGTAGTGGTTACGTAAACACATTGTTAGTCTTATCAGAGTTGGCATTATATGGGCGGTTATGAAAGGTAGATTATTATCTCAGAATGGCATACGTTTACATGTAAAACCCGGGTGCTATCTACGAACAAAGAAAGTGTAGGAAATTCGTATGAATGGGTATTTATTTATTTGCGTTTTCATGTCCTTTGAGTACGATAACCTGTGTTATCTAAACGCGCGTTGAAAAGAAGAATAGACCATTATAATATCCACGGTAAAATTGCGAATCTACCAAGACACACACACAGCACTAGCGGAAGCATCTGTCAAACCGTTTGACATTAACCGTATTTCTATGGAATTATCGATAGTAGACGTTTGCATTTTCCTATCACATGCGTTACCCAGCGCTAAAACAGCACAACACACGGACGTTACGTGGGATTCCAGCCTAAAAGTTATAAAAGTTTTATTGGCCTATTTATCATATTTTTTTCCAAGCTAAGCTATTTATGCTCTATCTTTTACCTTAGTTATCTGTACAGGAAATAAGGAAACGGACAGATTACGGTTAGACGTAATAAAACATAACATAGTTAATTAAGTTGGTAAACAATAAAAACTGTATTAGTTTGACTGGTGTAGCGTAAATAGTTGCATCATTTGGGTTACACGTGGTTCGTATATGCGAATCTCATATTGCACATTCAAAATACTACGTGTGTTCAGACGGGGTACCATCTTGAGTCCTAAAAACCATAATTATGCCCAGCCTCTGTGGTTGTGGCACATCTTGCATTGCGCTTGCCAAACTATCTGTCGAAAGCGAGTCATCTAAGTGTAGCTGTGAGGAGGCTTAGATATGGTATCTATGGTGTACTATCGGCAGTAAATCCATCTACCTATCAGCCTGTACTGGTTTTGTTGAGTATTTATATGGAAAACCAGTAAAAGGTCCCTTAAAGGGAAGGTGGATTTGCTGCGCCAGCTCAAAACCAATGTACGATTATTGCTCGTACATATAAGAATCAAATTTGAACTCAAAATCTTTTGGAAACAAATAGTCTGTATTGCATAAACGCACATGTTGACTATCTAGCTTAATCTACCCATTTTGTACATAACTATATGCACTACCTATTAAATATACATTTGCGAGAGCTGTATAAGAGTATGGTTTATCAGTACATTAACATTTTGCCATAGATGTTGAAACAATAGGTTGAGAAGCTATTATAGTAATTATTTTCATTCCCATTTCGATTTTAAGTGTGGGTTTGAGATAAGTTTTGATGAGTTAATTGGTAAGAAGTCACGGCAATATAACAATATCTCAATAATCTTGAATCCAAAAGTAAGACAATGGACTTAGTTATAACCTGATTCAATAAAGAAAGGGACTATAAATGGCGGTTGAAGGTCATGCTTTTTCTCTCGTACTAAGGCTCTTACCTACACCGGGCGTTCATGTTTTCCTCACACTTAAGGATCTGTCTCCAATTCTCCATTCAAAATCTCTTTACTTATGCGTTTATGGATAATTGGATACATTGAAATACCTAAGTGTGTAACACGAAAGTTAGTTATTTACGATTACGATAGAAGATTAATCAATTAACTGCACTAGTTAATTAAATTCTTGTCTTAACAATTTTAAAATTGACCAATGACAGCTTTGAATAACATACAGATAACGTGTTATGCGCTAATAAAATAACTTTATAATTTATGATTTCAACAACTTCTTTGATACAGGTCGTATTGGTTAATAGTTTAAAAGACTTGACGCGTATTTTTCATGAAGCAGGTGTCTGTTTTTGTTTCAAATACCTTTCCTAGTAAATTAACACCGGAAATGGAATACGTTATAAAACCTTACGGATACAGACTTGACACAGGGGATCCATATTACAAAACCCTAGCGGAAATAGGCTCAAGACATGACTTGACTCGGACCTATGCACCTAAACATTAGCTACTAATTGATGTACGATTTGATTGCCGTATATGACATGACTCGGGGGACCCATGCACCTAAACATTTGCTACTAATTGATGCGTTTGATTGCCGTATAGGTGGCAGGACGTCCGCGGGGAGTGTCGGTGAAATCGTGGCACTAAATGAAACATGGCTGCGCGCGCGCCGTGAAATTGTGTAAGAAAGTGAGGGTTGCGCCGTCGCGCTGTCGTCACATGGGGACATCGTTCGTGGTATGTGCTTCTGATTACAGATATTAAGTAACTTCTACCAAGTGTACGGTGCTGACTGCTGGTAAAAAGGGAGACCGTGTCTTATGGAGCACCCTGGAGGCTTACGTCCAGCAGTGGGCTGCTATAGTGCTGTGATGTGATGAGCCAAGTATATGTTTAGTGTATGGTGTCGCATGGGGACATCGTTCGTGGTATGTGCTTCTGATTACAGAAATTAAGTAACTACAACCAAGTGTACGGTGCTGGTGAAACGGGAGACCGTGCCTTATAGTGCACCCTGGAGGCTTACGTCCAGCAGTGGACTGTTATAGTGCTGAGATGTGATGAGATGATACAAGTGTATGTGTAGTTTTTGGAAAACTTGCAAAATTTTTCACCGCAGGCAGGATTTGAACCAGCGACCATCAGCATCTGTACTGCCGAGGCCATTACCAACTGGGGGCTACCGCGGTTCTAATCAAGCCTGCGAATTAAGCATGTATGTGTAGTGTTTGGTATAATTTTTCATGGTATGGTATGGAAAATAGGTACCTATCTTTTGTTTGCCTTGTTTTTGAAGACTCACGAAATCGTAGACTTGATGAGACTCATTGCAGAATTTGGTAGTCCAATTCAGACTATTCCTAACGATAATTAGTTTGAACAATATGTTTTGAAAACATAGTATTATAAGAGCGTGTTTTAAGTGAAAACAATATTTTCTTATACTAAGAACAGAAGCCAAAACATATGCTATCGTGAGAAGTCAGCTGTTAACAGAAAAGCGAACTCGACAGCTTGATTGTACGTGTTGATGTATTTACTTGCAATAAATTAAAAACGAGATTACGACGTAATCGCGTGTGTAATCCCAGTTGTTATTTATCTCAGCTCGTTTCGAATTAGCATTTATTTTCTCTCGATGAACACATTTGGGATGTTTCGTTCATACGCATCATTTCATTCGTTCGCGTAATGGTTGTGTTGATTGCTACAGTTTTAATGCTAATTTGCTGTTATATTACATGATAAGGTACTGTGTTGCCGTGTGGTGCCGGCTTAGAATAGCACTCCATATTTTCCCGTGAAACGTGGCTGCGCGCCTTGAACTTTATATTGAGAAGTCAGATGTTTCTGTAAAGCGAACTCGACAACTTGATTGTACGTGTTGATGTATTTACTTGCAATAAATTAAAAACGAGATTACGACGTAATCGCATGTGTGATCCCAGTTATTATTTATCTCAGCTCGTTTTGAATTAGCATTTATTTTCTCTCGATGAACACATTTGGGTTGTTTCGTTCATACGCATCATTTCATTCGTTCGCGTAATGGCTGTGTTCATTGCTACAGTTTAATGCTAATTTTCTGTTATATTTATATTACATGATAAGACATTGTCTATCTTTACCGTGGGTGTCGTAAATATCAACGATATCAACTAAAGGATTTGATAGTCGATGTGTATTTCAATTATAGGTGACAGGCTGTCAATCTGTCAATACGCTGACACACAGTCTTCTGAATGACTCTCAAACTTTGGTCAAACATGGTGCAAATGGCCATATTTATCTGAGGTCAAATAAATAGTATCATACAAAAGACATCAACGCGACACTGCACTACGATATTCTTGCCCTTATTCCAAATCAGTTAGGGTCGGCACAACATATTTTTTTATAACACAAAACTATGCAGCAAAAGGAATTGGCAATGCGATTGTAGGTGGTATCACCGTTACCACGCGGTTGACCATAGTCGACAGATATTCAATTTTGGTAAAACCTTTTACGAAACACCCTGAGTGGACTAGCGGTGGCAGTATTCTTAGCCGCACTTGTAAAACGACTTGTTTGAAAGAAAGAAAGAAAGAAAATAAATTTATTTCGGTCACAGCACAACAACAATCAAACATTGAACAATCAACAAATACATTTAAAAACTACTTAAAATAACTACATGTTATTGCGCATATGTGCCGAAAATGGACCTCACTCAGCATGTGCGGCAGATAGCAGTAGCTATCTACAGCGCTGGTATTCTGTGAGACCATCTTAGGGTAACAGTGGACGGAAAACACATACTTAAATTATTCCTAAATGTATGGGTAATATTAGTATCTTAAAACTATACAACAACATTAGATATCAATATTTGAGACTTTTATTATATTTTACATAGAATATGTATATTATAGAAGGATAAATGCTTACATTTTGATAAACAGACATTTTTGTGGCTCATTTTATACATCCTAGAAAACAGAAAACAGAGGAAACTTGAAATATTTGGCAGTGTGTAGTAAAAGTTGCACCATATCCGTCCTCTATAAAATGAGCTGTTGCTTAAAAACGCATTAACATCATACTCAGAATGTACATTTGAAATAATATGTTTTGAAGTTTGTAATTTAAGAACATCATTATACTGCTACGCTAGATGATGTCTTGCTTAAGATTTCAATACCTAGGTACCTGTTTATGGAGGGGAACACACGTGACGTCTGTTTCTGCGATATTTTATTGCAACGCACCAAAAAGCGAGTTTCCACCTTATTCCCACCAAATAAGGAGTCTGTCAAACGCTTTGATAAAAATCGCAACAACAGACGTCAAATGTGATACTCGCTTTCACTTAACGTTGAAATACAATGCGTAAAACGTATAAACGTAGTTTTGTTACGGAATTTTGGATTGTTTACATGTGACATACAAATAAAAATATTTACAAACAAAATTTTATCCGCACAAGTTGTCATATTATTATCGTATGTGAGGTGAGGCCCTAAGCAGAACAAAATGGAAGGAGAAGAGGGAGGCCTTTGCCCAGCAGTGGGACAATTTATAGGCTTATTAACATAAGATAAGATAAGAAGGTATGTCACATTGTTGACAAAACTGTTATATTATAACCGATCGTGTGTGATGACAGTTGTATAACATTTATGTAAGAACGAAAACGATATTCAAATTATTGGTAAGTAAGTAGGTACCTTAGTATGTAGGTAAGGTATGACTAGTTCTATTGGCATAGATTAATCTTAATAACTATCATTCCAAATAATCATCGCAAGTAGGTACGGAATAATAACATGCATGATCTTACAAATAATTTGATGTTTGTTAAGAGTAGTACATAAATTAACTCTTACAATATCAAGATTACGCAACTTATTATTGAATTAGAATTCAGTGTATTTTGGACTGCTTTGATTCTATGAAACTTCAATGGCACAGGTAATTAAAACATACGTAACATTTTTAATCCCATGTCAGCGTGTTTCAAGTCCTACATCATCATCACATCATTAGCCTGCCCTGATCCCAAATCAGTTGGGGTCGACGCAACATGTTTTGTTCGAGCAAAAAGTCCTACATAGGTACATACGTATATAAAATCGCGCGTCTTTTCTGGAGGGGTAGGCAGTTATTACATCTTTTCCCTCGCCTACGATCCTGACGCATCTCTTTCGCTAACTTAACATTCATCAAAAATTTTATGCACTTTCCATGGCTTAGGGTACCTACCTACTCTTGACCTGATTCAAGTCCTACACGTTTATAAAGTACAAAAATATACAAGGTGTAAGGGACAGGTCTCCGAATACTTATAGGGTGCATTCAGACCATGAAACTGAACAACTTCCCATAGAAATAAATTTCAGGAAACGTAAAATATTTTTTGACTTCCCATAGTAAATGCAATCAGTTGATCGTGATTTTGTATGGGAAGTCGAAATTTTTTTTTCGTTTCCAGAAATTTATTTCTATGGCAAGTAGTTCAGTTTCATGGTCTGAATGCACCCTGTAAGTATTCGGAGACCTGTCCCTTACACCCCGTATATTGCATTTGCATGACACAACCACCATGACCTGTACTGGACAGGTCACAATGGAGTGGACACCATGAAATACCCATGCATTGTTGACTCTGTTAACAATAAAATAGCCGCAGTAGTTTACCCACTAAACAGTTACGACATCGCATAATAAATGCGTTTTTTTGTTTTATGTGAAGCCAAAGCTAGATACTATAGGTAAGGTAGGTGGATACATATTTTGCATATGGTGATAATGAAATGAATGAATGAGAGCTACAGGATGGGCCGGTTAGTGATGAAACACCTGCGTGTAAGTAGTTCAGTGAAGCAATTTTAAATTGTATGGATATGCCATCAAAAAATTTCCTCAATTGTCATCTTCTGCATGTACGTACAGTCCAGCAAAAAAGAGTAGACAAAAAATGAGGGCGCCACTTTGTATGAAATTTCAAAATTAAATGGCAACATTGACTATGAAATGAATGGCAACAATTTAGTATGAAAAATTTTTAGTTCCATTTTATTTAATTTTTACTCTTTTTTGCTGGACTGTATACAATAAGATCGATCCATAAATAATTTGAAACGTAAAACATCAGACTTTTCGGACTATAGCTGAATTATTTAGGCACTAGAAATAAAATTAGTCATGCTTGTAAACGTAGTGAAGCCATGAAAGAAACTTAAGTAAGACAATAGGTTTGCATCATACATTTAAATGCAAACAATATTATTCTTACTCAATTGTTATGTATGATGTCCGTATTCTACTAACTAGGTTTATCTTTGAATACCATGCATATTTGAGTCTTTAATCACATCAGCATTTGTTATGGACAATATGGACTTAATACCTTTAAAGGCCAAGATCAATTTCAAGGTTAGACTTTTATTCTTCACGAATACTGCACCTTTAAGGTAAATAAGTACCTATTAGGCTATAATAATAACTAGCTTAGATAGGTACTTTGCATAATTAATGTAACATCTACAACATTAAAAAAGCTAAAAATGGAAAAGGCCTTTTGAGGTAGGTACAAGAGCCTTAATAATTACAAGTCAAGTATACCAGGCGCCCAGGAATTATCAAAGATTACAGGTTACAGCTACAACAGGCCCCATAGAAACGAGGACCCTGGGAAGATACACCCACAGGATGTGAGGATGTGAAACCAATTACGTATTATAAATGATAATTGCTATGCCTGTTTCTAACTCTGGTCAGGTCAGTTCTTAACTAGTTAGGTGGTTAGACTAGACAGTAGGCATACATTACATACAAATATACATGTATCACGCCTATATCCTTTGTGGTGTAGGCAGAGCGTAAACGGCAGTAAAAACGGCCATTTACACCATGTTTGACAGAAGATTAAATGTTTGAGAGTCATTTAGAAGACTGTGTAACTATAGTGACAGGTTGTCAGCCTGTCGCCTGAAATTGCGATATACATCCACTCTTCCTCCCTTAGTCTCTTCTTGCAACGCCCACGGGAAAGATATGGGGTGATGCTATTCTAAGCCGGCACCACGCGGCAATACATCGGAGTTATTTTAGTTTAGATAGTGCATAGATCACAGAGCAGGGATGACATCCCTGTGAATTGTTCCTAGATAATTCTCCTGGATTTTACATGGATCCTATGATGGCT